GCACATGCCTTTAATCTCATCTATTCAGGAAGCTGAGGCAGGAAGATCAAGTTTGAGCCTGGCCTGCATAACTTAGGAGATTCTGTCTCAAAATGAAGAAAAACATTAGAAAAAGCCTCCATCTCTGATACAGAGAAACTGAAAGAGAACCCAAGGCCTCAGAACTGTCCTTAGGAGCCTTCTTTATAATGCTGTCAGTTTCATGATAACCCGGATGCCAGCAGAGTTGGTATAAACCGCACTATGCGTCTACTTAAATGCACCCATTGAAAGGGATGGTCATGGAGACTGTGTTCCTTCAGAGAGAGAGGGCTATCAGAAAACGTTAGTTTTCTTTTAAAGCTCGAGTTTAATACACAGTCGAGTTTAATATACAGTATAATATAATACTCGAGTTTAATATACAGTATATATAAATTATACAGTTCGTAACCATATGAAAATGTGAGGATGGCCAAAAAGTGACCACGAATGCCACCGTGCCAGGGTGTTGGGGTTGTGCAGTGGAATGTGGAGGATTTTTCCTTTGTCGTCTGAATTTCTAGTTATTTTTAACATTATTTTATAATTTTTAATTGAAAAGAGAAAAGAATTCTCCTCTGGTCTTCTTGGCAAGTGGTGCCACTGAGGGGCTCAGCCAAAGGCGGCTGCAGCCTCGATTTGGAAGCCCCAGCCGTGGCCAGCAAGGTCGCCGCCCATCTTGTAGCAAGAGCAGCCTTTCGAGGAGGGCCGCTCCCCAGCGCTGGCCCGAGGAGCCTGTTTTCTCAGCACAGCCTCTTGCTTCAGCTAAACTGCATAATGCAGAAGATAAATTACAGCACAAAAGCTCAAACGTCTCCACTCCTGACATTTGTGCCGCTAATTAGTTTCTGCTCGGTGTTACATCCCATCTTCTCTGGTTTACTTTGAAAAAAGACCCATAAGTGTAAATACATTTTTACATAGCCAGATTTCCACTTCAGTATTCAGAAGCAGATGTATGGTTTGTCTTCCCTGAGTGCGTCACCAGTGTTCAGGCGCCACTTACACCACTGCATTTCACTTCACTCCCGCAGCATGGCACAAGCAAGTCTGTTGAGAGAAGACCCAGATAAAAACAAAACCGTTAACGTACATGAGCATTTCATCCTCAGGTATCAGTGCCATCATAGTGGTACGAGTTACCACCACGCATGGAGTTCGTACCATGCACAGGCACATGGGTGAAACACGTGTGTGCGCACGCATGAGATGACCGGCAGAGACTGCCTCCTTACAGCTGGCAACCTGGGACCCCGGGGGGACAGGCCGTTGCCCCAGCCCAGGCAGGCTTCCATCCCAGGTCATCTCCAGGCCTGTGCTTTTCCCTTGGCTGTTGTCTTAATTTCCAAATGGAATTCAGTAGTCCAGGGACGATGATCTGACCTAACTTGAGGATCTGATGTATAACTTCTGAGCCGACATCTTCACAAAGCCCATGTACTCCTGTGGTTTACTCCTTTCCTGTGAAATTTCTGGCATTCTTTGAATTTTCAAGGGTAACCACCGCCTGCCTCCCCTGCGTGCCACAGGACCGATGCCCTGGTGGGCTGCGCTGCGGTCCCCGCCCTCTCTTCATCCCCTCCCAGGGAAGCCTTGAGGTGGTAACAGGCATTACCTGCTCTGTTCAGTCAGTGTTCAAATGCCTTGGTTTCTTCTTCCCAGACGCTTTTTGTAAAAATTTACCATGTAGCATAAATTGCTTATGTTTACTGACAGATTTATTTCCAGCATGAGGTCAATTAACTTGTAACACATGAATATATAGGTTTGGGGCTGGATGAAATTACACAATTAACTTGTTACACTTGAATATATATAGGTCTGGGGCTGGATGGAATTATACAAGTGTGAATTCTGATGATTAGCTGTCACTCCGTGGTGACGGTGTCCCCAAGTCCTGCCAGTGTTCCTTTGTCTCTGGCTCTCAGATCCATCCAGTTCTCAGCATCCGTTCTGTACTTGTCCAGCTCAACGTCTCCAGCTGTCCCCTGGCCAACTGGCGTGGTTGTCCTGCCTCGGGGCTCTGGGGACCCAGAAGGAACAGCCTGAAACGCAGTGCACCCACTTCACTGCCAGCGGTCCAGCAGCAGGCGAGCCCAGGCGCTCCGGGTCCCACGTGCCCGTCGCCCCCCCTGTGCCCAGCACAGAGGGGCCTGGTCTATCGGGCTCCTGCAGACCCAGTTTCTTGTGCTTTGTCCTTGCCCTGTCCACTTCGCTCTTTGTACCCACACCCAGCCAACTCCCTTCCGCCTCCAAGGTGACTCAGGTGTCAGCCCTTCCTGTCCCCACAGCTGCCCTCCTCCTGCTCCTCCTCCACTCTCATGTCCCCATCCCTTGCACTTACCTGTGCTCCTGGCAGAGCCTGAACTGACAAAATCTGCCCTCTTAGCCCCCCAGCAAGACAGCCTGGAATGAGAGAAAGCTCCAGAAAAAACTCTTGGAGAAAAGGGAAAAAATCCTCTCCCTCAGAAATGGGTCACCCTGTGCCCTGTGGCCCAGCATGGCAGGAAACATGGCAGCTGCCCCGGCCCGAGGAAGACACCTTGCTCATGGCTGTTGGTGGGGCTGTCGCCAGCCACCTCTCGGTTGGCGGTTATGGTGGCGCTGTGATTGTCGCAGAGCAAACAGCCTGGCAGGGGTGCTCTCGTGAGGAGTGCTTCCCACCCACTTTCCTCCTCCGGGCGCTGGAATACACGGCAAAGTAGGGTGGGGCTCGGGCCCGCAGCCTTGAGGAGGCCGGGGGTGGTTCCTTCCTTGCCTTTCGTGGTGCCGTGGTGCACGGGGCGCGCAGACGCCCCTCGGTGAGCTGCAGGCGACAGGCTCCACAGCGCTGCGGCCCCACTGGGCCCCTGGGCCCACACGCGCGCTTGTCACACGTGCCACATACAGATGTGACTGCCCAAAGTGCGAGGTGTTTTTAATGGTGCCTCAGATTTTCAGGCAAAACATACCGCCCACATCTTGAGGGTTTGTTTTGTCAGTGATGAGCGGGAGCAGGTGGTGTAGACCGTGCATGAGATCACTTATCAGAGTGGTCAGTGAACCCCGAAGCTCAGGTCTGCGGGCCTCCCCAAGACCTTCTGGTCCTTTCTAGCCCCGGGCCCTGGTGTCTGTGCCTGTCACGGGCCAGGTGTCAGCAGCAAGGCCTCCCGAGGCTGGGGTGTCTCTGTTCGTCCTTCACGGCCATGTGTCCTTCATAGATGGCGCTGCTGGGTCACAGCATGACCAACAAAGGTACCTGCATTGTTTTTTCCTGTGGCTGCCGCACCAGCAAGACCGCGGTGCTGGGACGGGCCCTGTGAAGATGACTGCACCCATGCACAGATGCCTCTGGTCAAGGAAGATTTGCTTCCTTATCAGAAATAAGTAATTCATATATTAACGGAGTGGTTAGTTTCCAGTCAGAATTCTAACATTGTAAAGCCACAATTTAGAGCAGGCTAAATTTGTCAAGTGACTGAAAGTGAGGTTTTTCAGAAATTATTAGCTAATTTTTTTCAATATAGGATTTATAGTCACAATTAGTATATTGTAATGATGTTTCCAGGATAAAATAGCAGCTCAACTTTTCTGGTCACAAATGTACAACATATATCAGTTTATTTTTGGAGCTCTGAAAAATTAGCTACTGTAAATATAGTCCCCAAGAAGATTTCTCCCGGAAAGAGGTGAACTTACAGTAATCTGGGTGATATATTATTAATTAATAACTATGACCAGCCACTGCTTCAATTAAGAGGACATCGGATGAAGAGGCCAACTGGATTTTAATCTGCAGGCCGTGGGCTCTGTCACAGCGGCTGGGGAGTCTGTTTGTGCACGCTTGCGAGCCCTGGGGTAGACGTGGGCCCAGGGCCCCACAGTCCAGGCAGCTTTCGGACTTTGACCGTTGTCCTTCTTGGGCAGTGCCAGTGATGGAGACCAGCTTCACAACAGCTGCAGAAGAATTTTGTGGCTGCTGGGGTCTCCCAGCGCCACATGTGCTTGTGAGCTGGGGGAGCGTCTCATTCAGCCAAAGCCCCTCATCGTAGCTTCCGTCCCGGTGCCAGCCAGGCAGGTGCCATCGCTGTCTCAGTCTATGTCACTGCTCGATATTCCTACACAAGAAGTGTAGACCTGGCTGCAGTGTGGCTGAGCACGAGGCAGGTCTTGACACGCCACTTGCAGCATGACAGGTACACACAGGAGGGGCCTGCAGAGTGTAGCGTGAAGACGCACCTGGGGCAGCACCAGGCAAGCCGGGTCACCGAGAGTGGGCTGGGCTTTTCTGTACAAGTTGGTGGGAGAGGACACCCCAGCTGGGGCCTGTGGTCTGTGGAGGCAGTAGGGTGACATGAAAGTGGACCAAGAGGCTGTCCGAGGAGGGATAGTGCCACTCTGAAAGGGTTGACAGAGAACAGGAATAAATTTGGATCTGGGTCAAGTTTATATCAGAAGACCAGACCCGTGGGTTCAATCTGTTTCTCTAGGTGCTGGCACCCCACCCTGATCTTTCCAGGGTAGAAATGACCCAGGCATCCGGAGCAGCTTTCATGTGGGGCCCCAAGGCCAGGGTGCCCTCCGGGCAGGACTCGGCACCTGCAGGAGCCAGGCTGTGGAGGGCCTCCGTGAGCGCTTGGCTGTGGCCCTGCCCTTCCATGGCTCATGTATTGGACTTTAAGTGCTGTTTTATTTTTAGAGTAATCATTTGGGGTTAATTGGCCTTCTACCTTAAAAATACCTCCTTTTCCATGTAATTATCCTACAGAAGCAGCTCCATAAAGCCTTCTACCATGGCACTCTCCTGAACAAACTCTGAGGTGGAGTGCGGCCCAACTAGCCATTTGATCTTTACTTTTTACTGTCCGTTTAATACCCCGCCTGTGATGAGGACTCCAGAAAGAGTGCCTGCCGCCCCGCCTCCACCTGCATCCACTTGAGTCAGAGGAGTGGGAACCTTCCTTGCAAGGAACTCACCAGCACTGCCTCTCTCTTTCCAGGTCACGCAATATTTAAACTCACATATCTAAGCAATCACGACTATAAACACCTCTACTTTGAATCCGATGCTGCTACCGTCAATGAAATTGTGCTCAAGGTAAGTTCCTTGCCCCAAGGACAGGGTGCATGGGTCTGGTTGTCGCAGGCTGGCTGCAGCACCTTCATCTCCAGCACCAGACCTGCATGCAGGTTTGCAGAGGAGGAGCCGTACTGCTTCCTGGTGGCCCAGCTGATGAGCTCCCTGGCCCAGGTCACGCAGCCTGGGTCAGCAGCTCTGCCAAAGCAGGACCCCCTGAGGGACCCCCTGCCCAGGGAGCAGGACCCACTCCCTCTCCCCCTACCCAGTAGTCCCGGCTCTTGCTGTTTATTCTTTGCATGCACCATTCGTTTTCCTCCACCCATGCCAGGAGCTCCTTGAGGCTCCTGGAGTAGACTTGGAGGAAATGATGGTTCCAGAGACACCTCTGTTGTGCTCCAGGTGATTTTCTTACCTGTTCAAAATGTACCCAACTTGAGCTTAGCTTACCAAACCTCAATAACCCTCATAGCGTCCTCCATGGTCCAACCTGTTGCTTAGGGTACCATGGCGACAGACCAGTCCTGTCCCCGGAGAGCTCCACCTCTGTCAAGGGAGACAGAATGAAACCACTCTCAGGGTGTTAATAGCCTCAGAGCTGCTGCATGGGTGTGGAAGGGGTGGGGCTGAGCACAGACTCCCGCCGTACTGTGAGGGTGGAGGTAGGGCAGCCCGGCCCGCTGCACCTCGCAGGGCAAGGTTGGTGAGAGCATCTCTGTCGGGCAGAGCGGCTGCCTGATTTCAGGCCCCGCAGGACCTAGGACGGCTGTTTGCAAGGAGCACCGGTGCTCCCCAGGCTGCAGTGCAAGCCTGCACTCCTGCGTCTTCCGTAGGCCAGATCTCAGGTAGTTCGATCAATGGGAGGGCGGCACTAGTCTGGCTGAGGAGGAGCTGGGTCGACCCCTAGTTGGACGACACAAGCTAGTCACATCACCTCCCTCAGGGTGACCTCACCACCACCACCACCAAAAAGCCACTGAGGTGAAACTCAGACGAGGTGCTAAGCCTCCCTAGGGCGTGCTTCGTTCTCTTCCGAGAGAGAAGTCACCAAGCAATAATAAAAGCAGCTGAGACGCACAGGCCCTGGGCTAAAAGCTTCACCTGTCCCCTCGCGTTGAATCTTCACAACTGTGAGACAGGCCTGTGAAACTGTCCCATTTCCTAGGTGAAAATGAGGCTCAGGAAGTAAAAACAAAACAGCTTAGCCGGGGTGGTGATTCTGCTGAGTCAGCAGTGCCAGAACGTGACCCCAGGCCTGCAGGTTCCTCATCCCCCACGTCTGTGTAGCCTGAAGGAACTGAGTGGGAGATTGCAGGCAGCGCAGTCGCTTTACAGGCGCATTTTGAGACAGAGTCCCCATGGCTGCAAAAGGTCTTCCGAAGTGACAGGTGAGAATTCAAAGGAGGGAGCTACTAAGGATGGGTGGGGCCCGGACAGGAGTGTCGTGGTCACGGCACAGAAGGTGGGGCTTTGCCAGTGACCCTGACTGAGCCCCCTCGGACCAGGCAAGAGGATCGCCTGCCCACCAGGAGAACTGGCCAGCGCCGAGCCGAGAGTTGTCCGCCAGATCATCACAAAACAGCCCTAAGAACTTGTTGGGGAAGTAGGTAAAGAAATATTCCAGTACCCGTCAGGGGCTGGACTTATTTTTATAGCCAGCATTAAAATATTCAAGACTTGAGAAGGATTCTAGTAAAATTATAATCCTGTGTTTGACATCAAAATAATTTTCACAACAGCAGATTGATGACAGAAACACAGGTTTATGACTTCAATATGAGACTCTGGAAGATCAAGTGCAAAGAAATCATTTTACAGGACCAAATGCTCCTTTGGAGCAGATGCTCTCTGCAAAATCCCTGAGGCCTGTCGCCTCCCCTGGAATGTCTGTTTTCATATCAAACTGTTTGTAGAAATACTACATCATACGAGAGACTCCAGGAGGGGTGCAGCGTGCCCAGGCCTGATTTACTCGGAGCTAATGATCGTGGTCCTGATGGGAGATTGAATTTCGCTTCCCTAACTCTGATTTTCATAGTGCTTTAAATACTGAGCCTCAGCCACCTTCCCCGCAGGGCGAGGCCAGTGTCTGTGCACTGCACAGCAGCTCCAGGAGACTGAGGCCAGCCTGCACCCAGCAGAGGCCCTGCAGGCTCAGTCTCAGACTCAGGAACCTCGTGTCAGAGGAGAGCAGTAGGCTCAAGTTAAAAGGAAGAAATCAGAGCCAGGGGTGGTGTCAGAACAGCTGTTATGAACAGGCAGCCTCCATCAAATTATTTTCTCTCGTCTTTCTCCCATATAGAAATATAAATCTCTCCCAGTTTCTTGTTGCCAGCTATATGTGACATTTTATATGCCTGGCCCACTGCTCTGCAGTGCAGACATTATTGTCCCCATTTTATAGATGAGGAGATAGAGGCCCAAGACTACAGAGCTTGAAAAGGGGGAGCCTGCGCTGGAGGCAGCCAAGGAGCCCCAGGCTTGCTCACCCACCGGGGTGCAGTTGAGCCATGCTGTGTGTGGTCCCCAATTCTGCAGGCTCAGAGATGAATCTCCAAGGAATCACTGGGCTCCTCAGATCGGGTTCTCCTGGTGATGGAGTGACGGAAGCCGCAGCTTTATTGACCATGAAAACTCCCTATATTTTTATGCCTTAAGCTGTAAAATGCATTGAAAGTGAAACACTCTATAGTGCATAAAATTGTGCAAGTTTTAAGCCACAGCATATTAACCAGCTAATGGCAGACCAAAGGGCGTTTTTATCTTTTGATTATTACATTAATCTTCCATTAAAATTATCTATGTGATTATCACAAAGCCCTGAAGATAATAAATTTAGGAAATAGTTGGCTTGTTAAGGATCATTTTAAAATGCTTTTGTCAAATTATATGTGCCAAAAATACACAGAAAACACTAGGTTGGCTGAAAGTGCAAACACTCTGATCCAAAGCTTGCTTTTATTAAGAAAGATAAAACCCCCGATTTCCACACACTGTCTGCGTTGTCCCAGACTGTCCCCCGGCCCCGTGGTCCTCATGATTTATTGCTCTCAGCTGGTAGCTTGGCGAGGCAGTGGCCGAGCGTGTCAGGCCTTCTGTGCCCACACAGCCGCCTTCACCGCCTGCTGCTGGCGACGAGCAGAGCAGAAAGTTTGAGGACGGTGTCAGCACCTCGGCCGCTGTGTTGTCCTGCGCTGTCCCCTCGAGAGCTCCATCCCTGCTCAGTTGTAGAGCCCCTCCTGGAGCACCGGACACGTGGCCTCAGAGTGAAACTAGCCATCTGAGGGGTGGGGAACGTATTCACGCAAAACCCCAGGTGGAGGGCAACGGGCGCCAAGGAGAGCTGTGGCTGGGGGTGCTGCATGGGGTGGGAGCAGCGCGTGTAGCCTTGGGACCTCTCCGGGGTGTGTGAAAGCAGCAGCACAGCCATACTTTTGCCAGACTCCTGGGTGAGCTCAGCCTCTGGGGCCCTCTGTCTCTGCATCTCACCCTCCTGCCTGTCCGGGAGCCCCAGCCACTGGCTTGCTTGTGAGCACTAAGGACACGTGCACCGGAAGCCCTGTCGGGGCTGGTAGGCTTGGGGTTTCATCTCTGATGTTGCCGTTCTTCCAGTGCAGAGGGTGGTGTTCGGGAAGGTCGTGAGGCCGGGCTCCCAGGCAGGCAGGGCACAGAGCGAGGAGGTCCCGCAGCCCACTGGGAGGCCTCGCGCGACAGGGAGGGGCCTGGCCCCACCCCTCTCCAAGCAAGGCCCACCAGCCTCGTGTCATCCAGGACAAAGCAGGATATCCCAACCTGCCAGGCCACCCTGGTGCCTGGGACTCTGGCCGTGACTGCACCTGGCCCAGGGCGAGCAGCACGTGCTGGCAAGTGACAGGTGTGTCCTCTTGCTTTCTAGGTTAACTACATCCTGGAATCACGAGCAAGCACTGCCCGGGCTGACTATTTTGCTCAGAAACAAAGAAAACTGAACAGACGTACAAGCTTCAGCTTCCAGAAGGAGAAGAAATCAGGGCAGCAGTGACACTGGCCTCCACCATCAACCTGTCGTCACAGCTCAGAGCCCGCCTGCCAGGGCCAGGTGGCCTTAGAGCCCACCCTGCGTCCTGCAGTGCCCAGGGGAGCCAGCCCTGGGCTCAGAGCAGAGGGCTGGGGCGCCGTGGGGAAGACGTGCGGGTGGGGGCGCCTAGGCCGGTGTGCAGGGGACCTGACTCAGGACTGCAGTGGCTTTGAGTAGCGACCTGCAGGGGCCAGGCCACCCCCGAGGAGCTGCGGGCCACCTGGCCGTCTCCACTGCCCGAGGACCCTGCCCGAGGCTGTACATAGCCACGCCGGACATTTCCTTGCAATTTGATCCAATTTCTTAAAGAACAAAAGTGTACATTTCTTTTTCTTTCTTTCATTTTAATAAACAGGTGTACTCTTTACCATGGTTGGCATGATGGACCATTCTTTGGGGCGGAGGATTGATTATGTTATTCCCTTTAAAATCTGTTCCTATATTGAACAGGCAGATTGGAAAGGCTCTGGTTCGATTTCGCAGAAGAAATGTTTAGGGCTTAGTCAATAGTTTTAACTATGCCATTTGTTTAAATGAGTGCATTTGCTTCAAGGTAGTGCCGCACTGAAAGGGACGAGGACCTGGCGCTGTGTGTCAGGCTGTGTCCTTCTCCCCGTAGAGCCCCTCGCTCCTCGATGGCCCAGCACCTCCGGCTTCACAGATGGGAGGACGGGGGTGACAGCTGCGCTTCAGGTCATGCCCGGCCGGCCAGCGAGGTCTTTCCCGTCTCTCCACAGCAAGTGTAAGTTTCAGCCAACAGACCCCCACGTGGCTTCCCCGGCCTGGGGGTCTCAGCTCCGCAGCCCCTGCGGGACCCGGCTCCAGCCGGCCTCCCGCCCCGCGCATGCCCAGTGTGAGCCAGCAGGAGGCTGCTGTCCACTGTCGCAGCGAGAGGAAGCGGAAGGCGCCGCGTCCCGGCGTCCTGTTCAACGCTGGGAAAGATGTGGGGCCGGCGCCCCTGACACCACACCTCTGGCCACACCAGATGCCTCTGGACCTCGCCAAGGTCCCTCCCACGGTGACGTCCTTGTGTACTGTCCCCAACCAGGGCCAAGGGCCAGATGTCTCTCTGAGGACTTGCATTTAAAACATTTTTTAAATCGTTGTACAGGAAGAGATGTGTCTGAGCAGCATCTCGAAGTCAAGTGTATTTCTTCGCACAGGGATCGTTTTAATGAATTCCTCTTTCATTCCCCCCTTAGTTCATCCAGCAGGAGCTCCCTTTTCAAATGTCTTCCACTCCTACCCTCCAGAAACAAAGGAAATATTATTTGTAGCTTGCTATCTGTATTTGAATTTTTAGCAATTTTATATTTAGATACCTTTGAAAAATGTAAATGACTAATTTGGTCATTAAATCTTGTGACATTCAATATTAAAATGCTATTAAAATAAATGTCATATAAACACTTCCTTTGGTATTTTGCTTTGAGTTCCTGAAGTGTTGAGTCCCTGCTGCCGAAGGCTGACTCCACGATGCGTCTCCCGGGCTGACGCGAGCCGGGGGTCGGTGCCCAGCACCTCTGAGCTGCGCCGAAGTTACGGGGGCAGCGCTGACATTATCACCTCCTCCGACTACCGCATCAGCCATTGCTTACTGTGAATACAGCACAGTTTGCACCAAACATGTCCAGCTGAAGCAGTAACTTCCGCTTTGTAACCACTCCTGGGTCAGACACCAAAATGTTACGTTCATTTGTTCCCTCAGCCTCTCTTTCCACTTGACACCCAGATTTTTTTTAATTTATTTACTATTATTATTAGTTTTTCTTATGTATGTGGTGCTGGGGATCGAACCCAGGGCCTTGTGCATGCAAGGCAAGAGCTCTACCACTGAGCCACATCCCCAGCCCCCGACACCCAGATTTTTAAAGCAAGGCCCTGAGCGCAGGGACAAGCATCTGCATCCCCAGCGCCAGGCGTGCGGAGCCCGAGCTCCGCGAGTCCCAGCTAAGCTGAAGCGCCCTGCCGCCCGGCTTCCCAGCGGGTCTCCCAGCCTGGTGCCAGGTGGACGCTGCTCATGGTGCCAAAACCAGTGTCGTGCTTGTTCACGACTCAAAGCGACCCCTCGGGGGGCCTGCTGCGTCCGGGCAGTGGTCTGTGCTCCCTCGGGCAGCCTGGCCAGTCCCGGCACCACTCTCGTTTTGGAGGCGAGGACAGGGGGCTGGGCTCCCGCGCGGGCCCGGGACACCGCGTGCGTGACTGGCACCACACCCCTGCTCTTCCCTTCTCTGTGGCTTCCTAGCCAGGCGGTGGAGGAGCTGGACTAGCTGAGCTCCGCTGGGGTCTGTGTGAGCGGCGTCCCCCGCCGCGGTTTCTGTCGCAGGAGTGCGCCCGCGGAGTTGAGCGCCGGGAGCCCTTGGTCGGCCTCCTCCCTGTGCGCTCCCGATGCGATGCCCGTGCGCTGCGCATCCACGGACGGGCTGCTCTCTGCGGAGCCACGTCTACCCTTGGCCACTCCGATCGCCGCTCGATGACCAGCCTGGCTGCGCTGTGTCTGGCGTCCGCCCTGCAGTCCGGGGCCTCCGAACACTCCCAGCCTAGGCTCCATCTCTGTTCTCACAACGCCCAAGGCTGCCAGGTGGCCCCACGCCGTCTCGCCCCTGCAGCCTGCCAGCTGCGGCCTCCCTGTGCCCCTGGATCAGGGAGGGGTCTGGTGAGTCCATGGGGTGGGCGAGGGGCCCTCAAGCGTCGGGGCTGTGAGCTCCAGCAGGCACTGTGGGGCCCAGCGTGCTCGGAGGGTGCAGGGCAGGCAGTGGAGGTGGAGGGGGGCAGCGGCTGCAGGGGGCCTCCTGTCAGCCCCCAGCCTGATGAGTGGAAAGGCTGCAGCGTCCTGTTGGACCCTCTGTGCCAGTGACCTGACAAGCCCCTTCCTTTCCTGGGGTCCAGGACACCTGTGACAGGTGGGGCATGAAGCTTCTGCAGCCGCAGTCCTCCCAAGGAAGCAGAAGGCTCCACCCTCACCCTGAGAGAGGGGATGGGCTGGGGGCTGGGGATTTAGCTCAGCGGCACAGCGCCTGCCTAGCAAGCGCGAAGTTGTGAGTTCAATTCCCAGTACCGGAAAAAAAACAAAAAAAGCTTGAGAGGGGATGGGGTTTGCGTGCAGTTTAGATTGGTCGTTGTTTGTGTATCTTACCATAAAAAGAAAAAAACACCTGGCAGCCACTGGCTGCCCTGTCCCTCCTGGTCCCCAAGTCCCCCTCTGTCTCTGTCACAGGATCCCCAGTGGCCTCTGTGCCACTGGCCTGTGCATGTACCCCTCCACCTGCCGGCCCTTCCCCACCAGTTTTGTAAAACAAAATGGAGCAGAAGCCAGAGTCAGGGCGATCACACTCCAGCTGTGGCACTATCTCCTGTAGGGGAGTGAATTACCTTACATTGTGGGCCTCTGCTTTCCTTTCTGTGAAATGGGAACAACAAAGGTCCTACCAAGGGGTGGTGAGGCCCATTTAGCATCAACAAGCAGCCTCCGTGCCTCAATGACCTGAGAGTCACCCGTGGGTCCCACAAAGGCCAGGTAGGGAACAGGTGAGCCGACAGCACTGTGGGAAGAGACATGGGTCCCTCCTGCCACTGCCACTCACATGCTATCCAGAATCACTCACACGGTGACACCTGCTCCAGGAGGACCAGGGAGTTTAACCAGCGAAGACTGAAAGTCACATAAGCTGGGCATGGTGGCGCATGCCTGTGATCCCAGCACTCAGGAGGCTGAGGCAGGAGGATTCCTTCAAGTTTGAGGCCAGCCTGAGCTACACAGTGAGATCCTGTCTCAAAAAACAAGGAAAGAAATTGAAAGGGGGAGGGGGAACAGAGAGAGAGAAGAAAGAAAAAAGAAAAGAAGAGCAAGGGGTTTGGGAAACTGTCATACAGTCCGCCATCCTGAGATGACACCGTGCTTCCCAGATGTCACCTTTCACATTACGCTGATGTAGAACTTTGTCTAGGATTCGCTGGGTTCCTTCACATTACCTCAGGCTGGCGTTCTCTGCCTTAAGCCCCATTCCAAACAAGAGTGGTGGCAGACTTGGTCAGCTGCTTATCTGTTTTCTGGTGCTCTCTAAAATAAATCCATAACCATTCAAATTCAAAACATCCATCCTTGCCAGGGGCAATGGTGCACACCTGTAATCCCACCTACTTGAGAGGCTGAGGCAGAAGGATTGCAAGTTCCAGGCCAACTTGGGCAACTTAGCAAGACCCTGTCTCAAAAAATAAAAAGTGTGGCCAGGGATATAGCTCAGCGGTACAGCACCTGCTTGGCAAGCACACGGTCCTGAGTTCAATTTCTGGCACCAAAAAGTTTAAAAAATAAAAAGTGCTGGGAATATAGTTCAGTGCAAAGGCCCTGGATTCAATCTCCAGTACCAAGGGAAAAAAATCCATCTTTGTGACACAACGACCATGTCATGTGCAGCCCACATTAGCACTTTCTATTCTTTCCCGGGGCCTGCTCTAGCCTCTTACAAAGCTGTCAGCTCACATTAGCTTTGTTTTGTTTTGTTTTTTTCACATTAGTTTGTTATTAGTCACTCTCTCATTCATTCCATTCTCATTCCTACCTGATCCCATTTTACAGATAAGGAAACTGAGGCAAAGGGAAGCAAAGTGACCCACGCAAGGCCCTGCAGTGTGGGGATGAAGCTGGCTGGGATCCTCTCCTACGCCCCACTTCCCACCCCAGCTGCCTGGCCTCACGGTGGCTGAGGAGGCCTGGCACCCAGCTCCTGCAGCCCCACGAGCCCCCGCCAGATGACAGCAGCCCAGGGGAGTGCGAGGGTTCTGGCTGTCATGTTCTCTTCACACCGCACACCTCCGCTTAAGTGCAAACTCCCAACAGGGGCGGCGTGCGCCACACACGCCCGGAGAGTGATTTGTGGGGTCTCCGAGCCCGGTAATCTCGTCAGTATAATGGGATTATATTTCAAATCGCCGTGGCCTGTTCATTACCCATGTAAACTCCTCTGACAGAGGAAAACTTGCATACAGCAGCCTCGCCGACCGCCCCGCTCTCCTGCCTGATTAGACAAACAGATGCTGAGGTCTGGAATGAAGAAATAATGTGCCCATTTATTCATTTTTCTGACAAGTCACAATAGATTTCTAACTGCCAATAAGTGACCTCCCAGAGGTGCCCGCCAGGCAGCACACGGTCCTTTCCGCCGCGGCCCCTTTGTCCCGCCCGGCCGGCTCTCCTGGGCCACGCCAGCTGCCAGCCCGCGCCCCAGTCCCCACCTAGCTGGGCACCGGCAGAGGCTGGAAGGTGCCGGTGGGCTGGGGGAGCTGCCCACCCGGCACCGCGGCCACCCCACAGATGGGCCAGGGACCCCCCAGGACGACCAGGAGACAGAGATGGTCTGAATTCGC